ATACATAGTCTTTGAAACTTGCTATGTTTCAAATGCAACTTATGTATCTCTATGGACTGTGAAAAGAGAGTTTCTACATTCTGAGAATCATCAAGTGTGCAGAGTAATTTCTGCTCTTAGTCCCAGCAGTGCAACTAAATAATCTATAATATTAATCTAAATGCAATGGTGTTAAGGTCCTGAATGTACAAATTCTCACAGTATTAACTTTACACATACGAGTGCTTCTGTTTAACTCTGAGAATTAGTTACATAAATACATACATTTATAAATCCTTGTAGGACAGAGTTCCAATCATTTTGGAACGAAGCAATGTTACACAAAAATACTTTTAAAGTTTAAAAAATATGAATGTTGTGACTGGAAGGAAAGTGTATGGAGAACAGCTAATAAGGAACAAATGTAACATATATATTGAGGTGTTGACTGTAAGGTGGATGGAAAATTGACAAGCCCAGAGTCTTTCAAAAAGACATTTCTTTGGAAAGATGCTTTGTTGTCATCAGAGAATAAGATGTAAGGGAACTAGTATGATCTAAGAATTCTTAATAGGAAAATATTAATAACTTGGAAAGTGACAGAAATGACAACCAAAAGGAGTGAATCAGGAAAGTGGCCAAGACTTCCAAGGCTTACCAAGCCAGAGTACAGCAGTGTTAGAAATATGATTCTGCTAGCAGTTTGTCACATTCTTGTCTAGAATTTTAATGTCTTTTCTTGGGCTGATGACTTTTTGAAAGACAACATAATCATCTTAAATGCTTATTAGGTGATTTCTGTAATTATTGCAGACACGCTCGCAGTAATCAGCTGGAACTTTTTCTGCATGATGAACTACTCTTCCTGCCTGATCCTGCAGTTCAGGACAAAGGAACGATTCCCTTTGACTTCACTGGGATTCTGCCAGAAAAATCTTCATCCTACTAGTTCTTATTTATTAACTTGCTGGATTTATGGAATTTTCATAGTTCTCTAAGAACTTCCAATTAAGTGTCTGATTTCAGTTTTTGCTCTTCTACACATTATCCCCTACTTTTTTAATTTTAAGTAGACAAATAAGATGTATTTTACAACTCAGTTTGAAATGTGGTTTTGTATCCTTCCTTTTGTGCTATTCAATGATATTAAAAAATAAGACTGTAATTGCAAGAATCACCTTGGATTGTATTAGTGAACACTTAATATTGCTGAAGTGTTGCTTTAAAACAAGTCTCTTGTGAAGAAAACTTTCACTTCCACCTCTCCCTTGTCAGAAACTCCAGCTGTTTTATTTAACAGTTTTTACCAGGTACAGTATCACAAGACATTACTGAAATGTTCTTAAAATGTAAGAAAATAACCTTTTTCTGGGTGTATCAGTTCAAAACCTGACGGAGCAATAAGCCAGGTAAATGTATTAATTCCTGATATCCTAATTTCCATTCCAGAACTGGACAGTCTCAGTAGCAGTAAATGTGTTTTATCTACATGTTTTTTTCATAAGGATGCCCTGATTGATCTACATGATGTAGTCTGGATGATCTTCCTGACCCTCCTTTCTGTTGTTTCCCCCCTCTCCCACCACAATCCTCTCCAATAAGTCTAGAATAATAGAATCATTGAATAGTTTGGGTTGGAAGGGACCTTCAAAGTTCATCTAGTCTAACTCACTCCCCCTGCAGTGAGCAGGGGCATTTCCATCTAGATCAGGTTGCCCAGAACCATATCCAACCTGGCCTTGAATGTCTCCAGGGATGGCACATCTACACCTCCCTGGATAACCTGTTCCAGTATTTTATCACCCTCATCGTAAAGAATTTTTTCCTCACGTCCAGCCTGAATATCCCCTCATCCTACCACAACAGGCCCTGCTAAAATGTCTCTCCCCATGTAGCCTGGTCAAACCAGCACACTGACTAACTCCAAAGCAGAAAGAACTACAGTGAAAAGATCTTTGCTGAGAAACATGTCCTGCCTTGTGCCCTTCCAGGCTGCTTTCAAGGGGGTGGTGGTGTTGCCTGCTTTCATCACTCTGCCTACCTAAGGGAATCTCTGAAAGAAATTCTCCCTTACATGAAGTCTTCAGCCCTATCTCAAAACACTCCCACAGATAAGAAGACAAATCATGGCAGACTTTCACCTGCAGTTTTTTTACTCTTCTTTAAGCATCAGAACCCTTACATACCTAAACTTTAAGGATATTTACTTACGTACTTGCAGCTTTACTTACTTCCATTGTACTGGCCTTAGACTTCACTCAAATGGCACTGCAGGGTGCTGTTGCACTATGCATAATGTAAGTGTGTAGGAAGATGTTTCTTACCCCACAGAGCACAAATATGTTCTCTCTGCCCATTCTCATGAAAAATTATTTTTGGAATTCATGTGAGCTTTCTTCATCAACTCAAAGACGTTGCTGGGCCTAGCATATACTTATTTACAGAGGAAGACATGAGCTGACCAAATAATAGGCAGCATACAGAAGCTTAATACAGAAGTGACTGCAAGTATTTGGTATAAGGATTTTTCCAGTGCTTCAGGTTATGGCTGTTGAGCCTAGAAAGAACGAAGCACTGATTCTCCCTTCTTTCCCTGATAATACTGGGAAGAAATTTCTTCTTTCCCTGAGTAATATATTAACATTTATTTTATGCATGACTTCTATGCAACCTGCCAAACCTGGGCAATCCTGTGCGGTAAATGATCTCACTCTGACATTTGTCAAGCTACATATCCTTACATTACATATCCTTACAAACACAAGTCTCTAGAGAGAAGGTTTAAGACATAGTTCTGTTGCGGTCACAGGCTTCTGCACATAGGAAATGGAATTGTCCCCTCTCTAGTGGCACTGCACTGGGTATGGCAGTAGCCCACTATGATAATGTGGTGTTATGAGCCATGTAGTGCTCTGGCATGAGTTGTCTTAGATATGGTTAAATTACTATTCCATATTGCACAGAAGAGGGTGGCCATGAAATTAGCAAAAAAATCTCAAATGAGCCCTCGGGAAAAACAATATCCCCTACAGGCAAGACCAAAACAATGAAAATTGTCTTCTTGTGTTTTAAGGATTTGCACCTAAAGAAATGCATGACAAAATGGTCAATAAAAAATGATGCCCTGATTTCTTGTTGCCTAGCAGACTGAGTGGTTTTTCTGACCTTAAGAGCATTTCAGATGAAATAACCAAGGAAAGAGAAAGAATGTTACTTAGTTACTTACAGTCTTCCCCTTTTCCAAAACTATTAATCAGTTTCAGTAAATAAGCAAGAAGGGGCACCGCAGAAATCTTTCCTGTACATTTGTTCTGTGCTACAAGCCCTTCCACTCCCACATAATTCTTATGTTTGAACAAAACATATCTAGTTTCTAGGAGTCTTTGCTCAGTCTTCCCAGCACTCCCTGCCTGATGGGTGGGTGGTAGATGTGCTTCCCTTAGCACTAGCCATGTAAAAGCTAGAAGTTCCCTCTCAACGCAGATTTAGGGGTTGTTTATGGCAAATGGAGGGAGGAAGGTAGCACCAGAGGCTGATTCATCCCACCTTGAAAAAGGTATGTCAGATAGGTGGGATGAGGTGCTGTCAAGAGGTCTGTGTTACTGCTTTAAAAGTGGTAAGTCTACACAAGTAATTTAAAGAACGTGACTAAGCTTTGAATGACTGGTTTTCTTGATCACCAAGCGCTAGTGAGAAGGAAAAAGCTGCAGCTCTATCTGCCTGCAAATTGATGGCTTTTACCCCCAGGGATGAAGTGACCCTTGTTTAAATGAAACAAAACTAAAGCATTTCCATGCATGAACCACCCAGCAAACAGTCACACTTAGACCTGGCACTGGTAGTCAGAGAAATGTACTCAGATTTAGGCCTCACTTTTTGTTGGCATGAGGAATTGCACACCTCTCATCTGACACATGTGCACCAGTCTGTGCTCTGATACATTCCAGCAGCACAGCCTGAACGTACAAGCATCAGAAATCTGAATGTTGGTTAGTTGTGGCTCTGCCTAAAAACAATACAAATTTAAAAAAATTACTGCTTAAACAGAGTATGAATTTAGTTGCCTTGCGGCCAAGAATCCCTACACTGATGTGTATTTGATTTCCAAATCAAAATCTATATCTAGTATCTGGATCCTAATGGCAGCTGACTTTTTCTGCTCTGAATCACCCCAATTCCATCGTCAAACTAGAGCGCACATTAAGATTCTCTCAAAATCAAGACCGCTGTGTGCTGTGCCCCAGCAAAGCAGTAGGACATCAAATGCAGCATTTGTGTCCCACCAGGGCAAGAGGGTATATTTGTATCATCAGCACAGCAAACATGGTTTTCTTTTGTGTCCTCAATTAAATCCCCCCCCCCCCGCCTTCCCTCATGGTAAAGGTATGGTAATATAAGGAAGATGGAGAAAAATGCTATCATGTGCGCCTAGCAGAACACTACTTTTGGAAGGACGACCATCATTCTTCATTCTAGCACCCTGTAAGTGCCAACCGGAGTGACAGTATAAGGGAGCCAGACGGATCTGGGAGAGGCTGCGAGGTTTGCAGGGGGAAAACAAATAGGAAACCCAAAGCGAACCAAAAAAGACACCCAGCCGAGGAGGAGGGAGGAGCCGAGGTAGGGGCTTGGCTCTTCCCTGGGCCGGGCCTGGCAGCGCTTCTCCAAACGGCAGCCGGCTCTGGCGGCCGCTCGGCCGTGAGCCCAGCGCGGTTGCGGGTCTCCGCGGCCCCACCGCCGGGCGGAGCGCGGGTAGGGGCAGGGGCAGAGCTCGGGGCGGAGTGGGTCGCGCCAGGCGGGTCCAGGCCAGGCCAGCTCGACCCGTGCCGCCGCCGGGGCAGCGAGGGGGCTCAGGGGGAGCAGGTGAGGGCTGGCTCCGCGCCGCGGGGCTGCTCCGGAGGGCGGCGGGAGCAGCGGCTCCGTCCAGGCGCTTCCGGGCTCGGCGGTGGAAGGAGGAGAAGGAGGAGGGGAAGGAAAGGAGGGAGGAGAGGGGTGGGGTGGGTAGAGGGGAGGGAGGGAGGCCGGCTTTTTTAGGAGGGAGACCCTCCTTCGCGGCCGCCCGCTCGCAGCCATGGCTTTGAAGGAGGCGGGCGGCAGCATCCTGCCCATCAGCGACATGGTGTCGGGGCCGTCGGGCTCGCCGTTCCCCGAGGTGGTGGAGCTGAACGTGGGGGGCCAGGTGTACGTGACGAGGCACTCCACGCTGCTCAGTGTCCCGGACAGCACGCTGGCCACCATGTTCTCCCCGTGCCGGGGCGGCCCGGCGGCAGCTCGCCAGCTGCCCAGGGACAGCCGGGCGCGCTTCTTCATCGACCGCGACGGCTTCCTCTTCAGGTACGTGCTGGATTACCTGCGGGACAAGCAGCTGGCGCTGCCCGAGCACTTCCCCGAGAAGGAGCGGCTCCTGCGGGAGGCCGAATACTTCCAGCTGGGCGACCTGGTGAAGCTGCTGTCGCCCAAGGTCACCAAGCAGAGCTCGCTCAACGACGAGGGCTGCCAGAGCGACCTGGAGGACAGCAACTCGCAGGGCAGCAGCGACCGGCTGCAGCGGGCGGCGCTGGACAAGCGCTCAGGCTTCCTCACCGTGGGCTACCGCGGCTCCTACACCACGGTGCGGGACAACCAGGCAGATGCCAAGTTCCGTCGCGTCGCCCGCATCATGGTGTGCGGCAGGATCGCCCTGGCCAAGGAGGTCTTCGGGGAGACCCTTAACGAGAGCCGCGACCCCGACCGCCCCCCCGAGAAGTACACCTCCCGCTTCTACCTCAAATTTACCTACCTAGAGCAAGCTTTCGACCGGCTCTCCGAGGCGGGCTTCCACATGGTGGCTTGCAACTCCACCGGCACCGCCGCATTCATCAACCAGTACAGGGACGACAAGATCTGGAGCAGCTACACCGAGTACATCTTCTTTAGTAAGTACTGCCCGCGCCCCGGCCCCTGGGGGGGGTTGCTCTGTGCTGTGCAGTTAAAAGTGCATCCGCACCCCTGTACTCCGACCCTTGCTGTCCTAAAGCAACATGTAGCTCAAGAGGAACTGGGGCTGCACCCTCTCCACCCGCATTCGGTGCTGCCACCGCCACAGGTCACATTTTATTCCATGCTTTGGGGAGTGGGAGGGACAGGGCTGCCTAGTGCCCCGTTCGAGGCGCGGTGGGGGACCATCTTCTCCCTCGTATTGGAGCAGCGGGAGCTGCGCCCACCTTTTGGTGCCGAGTGTGCCAAGGGAAGAACCGTCCCCCTGCACCACCTGGCCCGTGTCGGGGTCTCTGGGGTGGTGTCGCGCCGGTGCCGGGTCGGGGGGCTGCGGCAGCGGGGGTCCCATTCCCGTGGCCGGGCGCAGTGCTGGCCCCGCGGCGGAGGGTTGCGGCGCTCCCACCCATCGGGGCGGTGCGGAGATCGGAACGGCGGAGCCCCGAGCGGGGAAGGGTTTTAATATTTTATGGGTGCTTTTATTTCCCGAGTGAGCGCACTGCGCCTGGGCACGGTCTCCGTGAGGGAAGGGGCAGCTGGGGCACGGCCAACTTCCCGAGGAGCAAGAAACAGCGTGGTTCCAACATAGGGGGACGGGGGGGGGCAATGGAAGAAAGAAAATAAACCACTCCGTGTTCGGTTCACAGCTCCTAATGAACTTCGCTAGCTGGCTGTGGGTTAGGCTTTAAGGTTTCAGATCACTTGCAAATAGGAAAATCAAGCAATAACGAGTGAGTTTAAATCTGGCAAAGTATGTAGTGCTATGTAGGGCACTGGATGGGCAGTGGTTTCGAGTAATGAAACCGCAGCTGGATGGAGAGCACAAGCCCTTATCTGAGATTTGTCTTTGAAGGCACAGGCAGCCTTAAACGTAACAGATGTTTTTGAGAGCCAGCTGAGCCTATGGAAGAGTGAGGTGTTCTCCATTCGCTTCTTTCTTCTGCCTCTGCGTGGTCTCACGCTCCCTGAGCGCAGGACGGATGCTCTCGTAGAGCATCCGCCTGCCACTGTAGTGGAGGTGGGAGATGCAGCCTCTAACTAATTTCATCATCAGGGCAGCTAAACAGAAGCAACCTGTTTAGTGTCTAAAACCGAGCCTAAGCATGGTATTTAATAAAGGATGGAAATGTGGAGGGGTTTCTAGTTGGGGGAGAAATTAATTAAATAATTTACACTACTGTATATGGTATGGGTGGTGACCACCCTTTGCTGAGCAGACTTAAGTACTTAAAAATCAATCTTCACACTATATTAAATGAGTTTTTGAAGATTAATTGCATAAATTATTGTCAATCATATTTCATTAGGATATGTAGAAATTGAGTTGTAGAGGAGCTTTACAATCTACAGGGTGGACTTTTATCAAGTATTTTACATGGTTATTAAATCTCCTTCCTGAGAAAAATAGTCATAATGATTTTATAAATAGCAGAAGTTCCTTATTGTTCTTATCAAGGCTGTGAACACTTGGTTCTGTTTGCTGAGAAATAAATATGTAGGTGCAGAATTATTTGTGTGCATTTGTGATGCTCATAATGTTTTGGGTTATATTTCGCGTGTGGTTGCTTTATAGAACAGTGCTGTAATTCAGATTAGTGTTCCAAATTAGTCCCTGGTGTAATACCACTGATTTGTGTGGAATAATGCCAGGGATGAATTTGATGCTCTACATCATGATTTTTGTTTTGATTTTCAGTCTTCCAAGTTACAATGTTATGATAAGTAAAACAGTTATTACTTAAATTGATACACTTAACCTTTTTTTTTTTTTTTAGTTTAATGTTTTTGGTGTGTATGTTTTGGTTTTTTTTTTACTACTGAGTGCAAAAATGGCTGAGAAAAAAAAGTAGGCTGAAAAGATGGGGAGCATATTTTAATTTTGGCTGCTTGTTATGTGTTTAGCCATCTTTTTTTTGTTTAACAATTTTATACATGTTCATATGATTAGATACATTTTCCTGAAATATATCAATATGGAGACAAATCACCAAAATGGGAAGAGAAACAAACAAAACACGTCTGAAGTAATGCTTTAGCTTTGTTTGCTCGTTCGTTTTTAAACTAAGTGTCCAATTGATGATGACTGTTGACAAAACAGAACATTATTATTAAATGCCCTGGATGCTGCAAAAGAATTCATCAAAGGGAGAGCAAACCTTGGAAGCCTGCACCAGGGGTGAGAATAGTGGTCAGGGTTACTGGCTGCAGGCTCTCCAACAGCATTAGCCCGGACTATATTCTTTCCTCGCTCATAAACAGACCTTAATATACAGAGAAGAGCAGACACTTTTCAATTTGTTCCTTGCCACATGTCCCCATGAACCCCAGTTTTGTTTGGGAGGTTGCTAATTTCAAGAGCTGTCATGGGGAATGTCCAGCTCTGGACTGTGCCTTGCAGAGGAAAGTATCAAGACAAAAAACTTCAGGGAACTTATTCTGGTTTTGGCCAGCACCTGAGACTTAATTTGGTGCTAGCAGAGAAGAAACCTAGTGTTATGTTCTACTGGAAAACCTCTAGCTGTGTTTGCATTTGTTATTCACAGCATGAGCATCTGCAACCAGCAACTATATTGGTTGTTAGTCTGTACCTCTATAGCAATTACACAAACTTCTCTTTCACCCTTTCTCCTCAGGACTTGTGTTCAACTCTGAAAGTGTTTGGAAAAATACATTAGGATATATATGTTTGGCCCATTTCCTTAGGTCCTGAGTAACAGAGTGTGTTTCTCAGAGCTACTAAGGCGTATTTGGTGGCCAGAGGTTTAATTTATGGTTTGTGGTACAGATTTCAGGTTGAGGTCTGTTTCTAGTATCTCTCAAACTTCAGTAGGTATTTTGAGTTGAAATGATGATATATCACTTTTTTTTTCTTTTTTTTTTTCTTTAAAAAAAGGAAATTATATTATTAAACCTTCAGGCAGATTAAATTCATCTTGGATACTACATATATATTTAATTACTCTATGAGTTCCTTAATATCTAGGGATGGATTAATTGTTGCAAGACTAATTCTGATTGAAGAACCAGAGGTCATTTGAAACTTCTTACCAGAAAATAATGCTTCAGCCTTTGGCAACATGTCCTGACAAGTACAGAGACAGACTTTCCTCTTACTGTGCATAATTCCTACAAAAACATTAAGTTCTGCCCCCAGTGGTGTTCAGGCTATCATGTATACAGCGACAGCTTCATTTGTCTAGACAATTATTACTACATGGCCAGAATTCAACCTGCACCTAGTATTGGTGGATTAGTTCTGAAAAGTGCTCACAGATCTGTTCCATGTGCCCATTATAAATCCTGTCTTTTAATAGTTAATAAAAGGAGTAAAATCTTATGTGGTAGTGAAAAGGGTCTACTGAGTATACCATAAGCTTTTCCTTATTCCCCCCTGCTCTCCCCGATAGCTTGGCTCCATGATATTGAAGCTGTCACCTTAGCATACATGAGGATGATTTGAGTCAGTTAACATGACATGTAATGCATATGAAGTTTGGGAAAGAGGCTTAAACTCTTTTGCTGCTGAGTTTCAAGCTTCATAGAGGACCACTGATTAATTACCTGTTGGTGCACTGTAGGTGATGGCCTTCACAAAAGTTGCTTCTAGCTGGAGACAGGAGACCAGGAGGCAGGAGACCTTGCTTCACAAGGCTGCAGGCAACGTAACATACCTTCTGTTAGCTTGTCCTCTTTGTGAGGAAAAAGCGTAATTTATATTTTTAAGCTTGTTTATTTGTGTTCATGGGGTTTTTTTTTGAGGTTCACTGTATCTCTCAGTACTGTTGTGCAATGTAGCGTTGCCTGTGCATGCTATTAGTGTTTTTTTCTTCTGTAGAATCTAATTGGTCTTAATGGATTTTACATTTAACATCTGCTACTCAATCTGACTTACGGGTGTTGAGAGCATCGTGCTCAGCTGGAAGCTCTCTGTGCTGAACTGACAGATTTATTGTAAGAAAAATGCAGTAATATTTCATGCAAAAATTTTTGACGTGTTCTATTTTGACATTCCTGTATCACATGTGACAATATCTTTTTCTTGTCTCTTGCTTTAAACAGGTGACATTTGCATGAATTTATGGTGCTTATTTTCCACTTGAAGTCACAGCAGTCTGAGATGATATGTGTTGCTGTGGAAATTGTCATAAGCAAGTGATAATAATTCCGTAATCAGTGGGGAATAAGCAGTTGGAAGCAATTAACTTTTAGGAAACAATATGGAATTTTGAAAAAAACAAAACTCCCAAACCTGCAAAACCACAGCACCAAACCCCCTAAAAAAACTCACCCACAACAAAACCTGGCTGACAGTTGAAACATGGGGAACAAACATGTTCACAAAATACTTTGAAGTGTTAGTTGCTCTGTGAATGCTAAATTCAGCTCATCATTCCTGAGGAAAGTGAGGGGTTGGTGGGTCAGCAGATAAACTGCTCTTCTGAGGGTAGAGTGGTATAAAAGCCACACTGCATGTGGTTTCTGTGACCATGCCAAGTTGCTCTCTGTCCATCATGTTGCAGTGGAAACTGTCATGAAGAGTTAAATCAGTATCACAAGCATGACATAGGAAAGTTTCAGATTTGACAGTCTCAAGATCTCAGAAAGTTATTTCTGGTAGGACTACTGAGCAAAGCCCTTTAAAGAAAGACTCTGTAGGCAGTTCTGGTCCTGTGACTGGAAAACTGACATAAAAGTTAAGGATTTTCTGCTTTGTGATTCCAGATGAACTTTAATAAAGTTTAAAAATAAATAAATAATAGACTACTCTTTATTTGTATTTTTTTCCAAAAAGATATGTCTCTGAATGTAAAGGAATGAATCAAAGTGTACAGTCATAAATTACTAATATGAGAATATCTCTCATGCCACCACTTGACATAACATATGCTAATCTAGACTACTGAAACTGGTGTTCTCATTTTAGTGATAATTTCAACCAGGAAACTTCATTTGAGAATGATTTTAATATGTGAGATTAAAAAGAAGCTTCAACAAATTCATTCTTTTAATAAATAAATAAGGAAACCAACCTGCATTCCTCTACAGTGAAAAACTGTGCCAGAAACCTTTGGAGTTTTCTTACGCTTCAGTAGAAATGCACAAGACTCAATGCAAAGATTTGTGATTAAATTTTAATCACTATATCCAATTCCTAGTCTTATTACAATAAAACATTTTTTTTTTCAGTACTTTAGAGCCACTTGATATTTGGATCTGAGGATTGGAACTGTTGTGCAGTATTGTAAAAGTAAAATTAGGGATTAACTGAGAAAATCAACTATCCTGGATGTTGCCAGAATCAATACTAAATAAGCAATAAGCACCTTGATACAAGCAGCTGGTATTTATGATGCTGGGAAATGGAAACACACTGGGTTTTGATATTACCCTGGACTTGCACTTCTTGTGGATTATGTGGGAACAGTGATGGTGTTGAAGAAGCTGACTTTGCTGGATCTGTAATATTTTGCAGGAAAACTGCTTCTTGGTGTCAGATCACTTCATGCATTTTCGAGGATTTATGACAGTAGTTGCAAATAAATGTTTACTTTTCCACAGTAGTATGAACAAATCACATTTTATTCTTTATTGTCAACATGAACTTCTAGTTATCTGCTGTTCAAGTGCAGAATTTATGTGTACAAAAGTTTTCTGTATGATACTGTGCCAGGCACATGATTTAAAATTAAAATGTTGCTGCTAATAAAATACATTTTTCAATATACTTGATTTTTCAACATGATATGGCTGGTATTTCACTGCTTTTTTTTTTTTGTTCCTTTGCATCAAATACCCCAGTTGTTACATTGTGATGAGAATTTGTGTGTCCAAGAAAAATTCACTAAGCATTACACCAAGAGAGATTTCATAGACTCTCACATTATCCTCTTTCTGCCACAGTTCCACATTTAAACATAGGTTTCCAGAAAGGAAAAACTGCTCAGGCAGCTCTTGCAGATGTCAGAAGTAGTATGCTATGAGAAGTGGCAGAAAGAAACGCTCTCTTCTTGGTCCAGGTGAGCATCACTATGGCCTAAACAAAATGACCAGAAATAATTGGTCATGTTTGAGTGTGTTACCAGTTTAAGGGCAAAATCTATGAAGCCAGATACCTAGATGGGCACAGAGGGTAAGTGTATAAGGTGGTGTGCAGCCATCTCATGCTTCTGGGATCCTGGGCTACTTGAGACTTGTGTGGTACCCAGTGTAGCTCAGAAACAGCTTATCATTGTCCTCCATTGTCTCAGCAACTAGGCAAATCCTGGGTGTCATTGCAGAGAAAGAAATAGCACAGCACAGATTTACCCTCTGATTTTCCATCTCCAGTTTTAGATTACTTTATTGCCAGTCATGCAGGAAGTCTGCACAGAGTTAAGTTAATCAAGGCTATGTCTGCAGGGCTTTTCCATGCCACAGACTGGTTATTTGATTGGTGCTTGTTTCATAGAATCACAGAATGGTTCGTGTTGGAAGGGACCATAATCATCACCTAGTTCCAGCCGCCCTCCCCCTGCCAAGGGCTGGGACACCTTCCATTAGACCATATTGCTCAAAGCCCTGTTGACTTGGTGTAACTGTTGAAAAAAGCAGGACTCACTATCCTAGCTAACATCCTAAACTGGGATGTTACTTTTATATCCAAGGATGATTTTATTTCATTTCTGTCTATCAGATCCTTATTTCTTAAGGCAGGTAGAATACTAACAACACTCAAATCATGGCTCTTTTATAAACTGAGCCAGTGGTACTTCAGTGGAAAATCCTTAAAAAAATGACCAGGCAAATTTCATTTTGCTTTAGCAAATTAAATGCTTCATGATGGATTTCCCATGGAGGCTGCTTACTCCAGCTTGATAAAACTGCATGTTCTTTTTGAGAGAAGGTAATTTATACTCTAGTTAAAACTGTTAGGATTAAAAAGTGCTATGTCTAAAATTAAATTAGCTTTCTCAACAGAGTTTAAGTATTATATGATTTTTATTTTTATTCAGGATTATTCAGTTTATTTATTTATTTAGGACCTGAATGGAATTAATTGTGTAAACAGTGACTAACAGTGTGTGAAGCTTGCACTCATGTCCCATTCACATCTGTAAAATAGACCTTCACTGAGACTGAAGCAGCAAATGTCTTGCTGTCTTTCATGCAAAAGTGAAATTGAAACTATATAAGTGATTATTTGCTTTCATAACTGTTTCTAGTACAAATAATCTTGGCAGTGGTAAGCAGTGATGTTTTTAAGTTTTCATGGCACTTCTAGAAACTAATGACATTCCATTTTGGTTGCATTTTAGCAAATCGTGGTAACAAAACTTGTCATATTTCTTACATTTTGACAATTTAGCTTCAGAAGACATTTAAATTAAAGAGTGCATCTTATTGCAAGGTGTCACTCTATTTATACCATGCATCTAAATATTTTGAGGACTTCACCACACTTGTAAAAATCAGAGTGGTGTTAATGAGTTTTATGTTTCTAGCAAGAAGATGAATACAGTGCTTTGAAATGTTTATGCAAATATTGCTTCTTCTCTATGGAATGGCTTCTATTTTGATACTGTCTTCCCCAAAGTTGCTCAAAAAAGGATTTAAAAGTAGAGAACAGTGTGTTTACCCATTCTTAGCCCTGTGGGGTTTGCATGGCTGTAAGCTGTGTCAGTACTGATTTCAGTTACAGGTGGTGCACCAATTCCTTCATCAGTACTTTGCAGATAAGAGTAGTAGGGTCAGAATTCAATTGTTCCCTTTCTAATTGAACCCCGTATGCCTGACTCCTAGGATGGGGCTTTGAGCAAAGATCCAAGCAAAGGAGGTGCTACTGCTTCTGAGGGCTGCCACTGCCTCTGGGCTGTGTGCGCCTCAGGTGTGCTTTGTACAGCTTGTGTCATGTACTCTTGCCTAACTTGTTTTCTGTTCCGGTGACATGCACTTAGCAAATAAAGAAAACTAGAGCGGCTTATGGAATAATAATTAAAAAATTACTTCTTTTGAAGGGAATACTGCAACATTAAAAAAATAAATACAGTGACTCAATCCAGATACAGCAACTCAATTACAAGTGCAAGTACACATGGTGACAATAGCTAATACATTGAAGTAGATACACTGCACATCTTTGTGGGGGGAAGGAGTGGGCTGAGAAACTGAAGAGAGAAATCAACACCATCATTAACTTTTATTAATAAAATCAAATATTCCAGGTATTCACTTAGCATACATTCAGTTGTATTACACTTAATACATATGGGGATGTTCTCTTTGCATTAGCAGAAAGATATGATTCAGAAATTAAATCTGTCAGTATATTTTATTTTTTATATGAACAAACAACAATAACCTTCAGATGCATTTTTATATTTTCTCTTTCATCCTTACTGGGAATTACCATTTAGTACTATTAACAAATATTCCCAAAGAGAGATGGGTTGGTGTTCAGGGACTTTTGTCACATTTTGTTATAAACAGCCTCCTGCAACTTAAGCTAATAGTAAAGTTGTTTTATATTTTATTGAATGTAGATGTTTAGAAATTCCTGTAAGGATTACAACAGTTTCTGTGTGTTCCATGGAAGTTATTGAAAGTGTGCTATGATTCCACATGCATTTTATCAATGAATATTTTATATATGTCTCAGGTGCCTATCTGTGAAGCTGTTTATATTTGTTTAATAACAGGAGGGAGAAAGGCCCAGGTTTGCATTTATACATGATCATATATACTTTCATATGTTTCATAACAGTTTAATTACACCAGATGTTTTTTCTGTCTGTTACTCAAATCCCCATTAAAACTATCATTCCTGCAAAGCTGTGAGGGTAATGACAAATGTCTATTTTGTGTGTTCAGAAGTATTCTCTAACACTTCTGGTTGTTAATCCAAGGTTCTTTAATTCTTATTGGAACTCACAAATACAAAATAATATGAAAATCAACTACAAAAGTGTTAGAAGACGGATAAAGTAAGTCAGTAAAAGTGACAACAATTTAATCAGTGTGATGTGTAGATAATATAGTGAAGAAAGATTAAACAGTATTTTACTAGTTTTTCCTAATAAACGCATTTTCTTTCCCTTTTGTCCCACAATCACTCATTTATGGCCTGTTGCTTCTCAGTATTGTTTTTTTCAGACACCTGTTAACTGTTTCTGTTGTTAATGCCTATTATGGTTTCTAAGCTGATCTGAAACAAGCAGAGGCATAGCTACTCTTGCCGCATAGTTCTGTCACTTTCCAGTGTTTGGGAATAGAAATATCACTTGTATCATCTGTCTAAATATACCAGTATACAGCCTTATAAAAGTGTGATCAACTTTGCTGAAGTTATGTGAACTTCAGGAAAAGAAACCAGAACCAAAATAATTCAGCTGTTTTTTATACAAGATAGAATGGGACTAATGTTCAAGTTGGGTTGTGCCTGGACTCTCTTACTTCCAAAATTTTGGCATCAAAACCCACACCTGCTTTTCTGAGTGGCATACCCATTCAAAGTACCATTTCTTCAGAGCAGAAGCTGTCAGCATCTGTACGGGTAGATAAGCTAAACCAGAGTTACATAAAGAATTTAACTAAGACCACTGTAATTTTCAATCCTTCATGGAATTTTTACTTTCCCAGCAGCCATAGACTTTAATTTTCTCTCAGTTAACAGTCTGTTAACAGTCCCTCAGAAAGATGTGCATATTTACCTGTTTTTGTCTGTCATAGTTTGCAAACATAAGTTTCTGATCTTCATGCCATTTGTTTGTCTTTGGGGATACAAATGAATGTAATGTTAATATAATATACATATTAGAAATAAATATAGTGTTTCTAAATGTTGTAGACAGAGATAAACAAAGTTATGTGTTTTTGCTTCCCAAAAAAACATCTGGAGTAACAGATAGGATATCCATCCTTTGGCTTCAAAATAATCCTGTAATTCTTTAGGACAGAAGGGACAAACTTTTCAGAAATATTTCAGTTAGTGTGTGATAATTTTGAGCACTACTTAAGTTTTTTGAAGTTCTACCTCATAACCTGCTTTTTCCTATGACTTTTAGTTGCCTAGCAGTCCAGCCTCTAGTCATAACAACACCCACGTTTTCATTCCTGTCCTTTATTTACTTTTTCCACCTGCAGCTGAAGTAGTTTGGTGTCTAAATTGGTGGAATTATGCCCCTAAATAATTGCATCTGTGATGACATTTAATTACAGGAAGAAGAATGTGCTCACAGTAGAGATTATGTTAAATGCTCTCTGTCTAATCAGATCCCCGGTGACTGACTTCTGGCAGTGTTTTCTTAAATCCCGTTGCTGTTGACGCGATGAATAAAAGCTGTGCAGCTTATGCAAGTCCATGTCTTCAGATGTTTTTCCTTTTCTGATTTGTGGGTCTGATATGGACTTAAGAGCAAGGCTGAACATTGTTCACACCTGCCAAACACACTTGTGGACCTCATGGTGCGCTTTGTTGGCTTGTGGCTGATCAGGACAGGGCTATGTGACTGGTAAGGACAGAGACTGGCTCTGCTGTGGACTTGGGGACTGCTTGTGGCCTTGGGGCCCTGGGAGGGGAGTAGGGGGGCAGGATGAGGCCCTGGGCGGAGTTGAGAGAGACACTGTTACAGCTTGATAGTGTCCCCTTGGGGCCTGGCGCTGTGGTGGCCATGTCTGTTTTCTGTGAATACCTTTCCTCAAGGGCATGTAGTGATAGGACAAAGGGGAATGGCTTTAAACTGAAAGAGGGTAGATTTAGATTAGATATAAGGAAGAAGTTCTTTAGTGTGAGGTTGCTGAGGTACTGGAGTAGGTTGCCCAAAGAAAGTGCTCCATCCCTGGCACTGTTCAAGGCCAGGTTGGATGGGGCTTTGAGCAACCTGGTCTAGTGGAAGGGGGCTGGAGCTGGATGAGCTTTGAGGTCCCTTCCAACCCAAACCATTCTGTGGTTCTGTGATTCTGTGAAATAAGTCAAGTGCTGCATCATTCAAGGGCCTGTGACCAGGTGCCATCATCACAGGTCTGCTTCAGGGCCTCAAAATACTAGAGCAATGATTCAGGGTGGGGTTTACTACTATTTCACCAACTTTTTATATCATAAAATGCATGAGAAATAACTCCTTTAATTATGAAGACAGTTCTTGGTCAAAGACACCACTAAAGCAAGAGTAGTATCTTACCTATACTCAGTGGTGTGGCACACTGTGTTTCTGCAACCATACTGCTGAAGCAGCAGAAATTTAAAAGTAAACTTCAATTCAGTACACTTGATCTAAATATTCTTTATATTTGTCTGCAAAATGTGGAATGAAAAACACTTGTTACAAGTAATTGCTAAACCAAAGAAAAACATATTAGAAAAAAAGAATTGCTTTTTAGAGTATGCAGAAATGTTTTATTTAGATTTAATATTAATGATTTGACTGTATGCAAGCCCTTCTATATTGTCACACTTATGCATAAAATGTACGAAGGAGTTTGGGAGGTTGCTTGGCTGCACTTTGAAACAGTAAAAAAGCTCTGAAGTTTAAGAAGATGCAGTGGGTTTTTGAAAAGTATTTTAATACATGTTTCTGGAATTAGGCTTATCCTCTGCCAATGAGGATACTAGGGTAGTGGGGCTACTAGAAGAAAAATAGCTAGCCTTTTTAATGAACCATGCAACAAATCACGTTTGAGAATAATACGAGTCTAAAATTGACCTCCAAATCAATGCTAGCAATCTAGAATATATTTGCAGGAAATCCAGCCAAGTTTAGCGAAAATTTCCATCCGCACTTGTGAATTCTGCGCAAGGAGCAGGGATAGACAAATTT